TAAAACGTATTTGATATTTATCATGTATGAATGACTAAAATCATGCAGGGATTAAAAACGAATTCTGAGCAAAAACATTACGTTTTTTTTTTCCTTTCTGGTAGCTTACTAGTTCGGAGGTCTCTTTTGGCCCGTTTTTAACAAAATAAAAATAACTGCTTTATTTATTTAGAAGCAGGGTAATTTAAATTTCATTTTTGTATTGTAATTTTTAGTTCAGAGTAAGACTTCTCTTTCAAGAATGGAAGCAAGGCATCAGGAGGGAGGAGGAGGAGGAGAGGACAAGACCACAGTGGCAGGGAAAGGCCTGAGCTCCAGTTCGCTTTTATCCCTGCTGTTCGGTGCAGGAGAGAGAGAGAGTGAGACAGAAGCAGACACACCGAGACGGTGGAAAACAGATGTAAAGACTACTGATCAGCACTACAATCATGTGCAGTAGAGGAGGCTGCCTTCTTTAATTCACATTCCAGAGGCAGGAGATAAAAGCAGCGGGGAGTCTTGGAGAGAGGCAGTACAGGTATATATATATATACATACATATAGAGCTGGGAAGGAGGTGGGGGCCGTGCTGATCACAATGATGGACACCATCCAGTGTTGCCAGACGTACGATAATTATCGTATTTGTACGATAATTTTAACCTCTGTACGATCAATAATGCATGTTGAGGGGCGAGCTGAGATATAGTAGGCTACTATAATGTCTTCAGCCGTTTGCAACAAAACTTTATAGTTTTGTTGCAAATTAAGAATTTATAGTGCTATATATCAGCTTAATTAAACAATTATATTGTATACACGGTATAAAAAAATCTGTAAAAATATTGAACTGAAATGTGCGCTGACAGTGCATATTTTAATTATACCTGTCATGTTTGTGGTTTTTCATCATTATGCAGTCTGTTTAAATAAATATTCAGAAACACATGCAGTGCTACGTTTTTTTTTTTTTTTTTTTTACTTTTATTAAACTGCAGCTCAAAATAGAATAGGCCTATACCCTAAATAAGGATAAATTATATTGGAACGCATCTCCAAAATAATCGCACACAGATGCATGTTGCCATTACAGTAGTCAGCGCCGAACAACAGGCAAATAAAATATAAACTGATGTTACAAAAGTGATTGTCAGTGGGGGCCGTGCTGATCACAATGATGGACACCATCCAGTGTTGCCAGACGTACGATAATTATCGTATTTGTACGATAATTTTAACCTCTGTACGATCAATAATGAAAAAAATCCCATAATGTTAGATAATTTTCTTCCAAATACGATAATTTTGAGCTTCAGGTACGATACTTGGACATTTCCAATCTGGCAACACTGACACCATCCACCACACAACTCCACTCAGAGCTGAGGCCTGTTCAGACAAAGTCCGACCAGATTTTCAAGCAAAACAATACATCTCTGCAAACTCCAGCGTACAGGATTGTGAAATGTTGTACTGCGACAAGCCGTTGTTTTTATTCAAATGCTAGTCTGACTTTTTACATGTTTAAATCTCACCAACTAGAGAAAACAGAATTCAGAATCGCATTCTGCATAATGTGTTTTTTTTTTGGCACAGTGACCAAGATTTTTACAACAATACAAGACATTAATATGGTTACAAAACAGCTGCCATCAATCCTGGAAATAAAATTACTTGATTTTCCATGTTTTGTATTTTTCCAAACACTTTTAGTTTCTTAATTCAATTAAATTCATTTTTATTAAAAGTTTTGTAACTGAATAGCAGCACAAGAAATGTCTAATTTAAATTAGAACAGTTAGAAACAAGATTATTTTATTTTAAAATATATTTATAATTTATATTTTTGTATTTGATATATTATTACACATTTATAATAATGTATATTTATAATTAATATTTTATTACTTAATATATATAGTAAGTTAATATTAGGGCTGCACGATAAATCGCATGCGATATTTAACGCGCATCTTATGAGTAAAGCCGGTTCTGTAATCAGC